TTGACACAGCCATGAAAGTGAGCTTGATTTCCCAGTGCATTAGGTGTGCTCAGGGGCAGCTCACCAAGAGGCAAGTGCACGCATTACAGACACGTAATTGCTATCAATTCTCTTCCTCAGGGCTCAGCATCTGGGACTGAGGCTCGAAAAGCCCAGAGGTGAAGTGCTGCCCCACATCCTTCCCTCCCAGCCTGCCACGTACTCCCAGTCAGCCATTACATGCCGACCAAACAGAGAAGCCTGGCATGAACCAAACAATTGTGCAATAAAAAGCCATTGAAGGAAACACACTTAATAGCTCAAAGGGGTAAAGTCTTCTTGGCCGTGCCTGGCACCATTGGCTAGAGCAGGCTTACTGACAGCCTGCTGTGTTCAGAGAACACGGGCTTTCCCCAAAGGAGGAGCAAGCCACAGCGTGCTCAGAAAAGACCCTTTTTTCCTCAACTCAGAAACAAGTCCACCAGGTCATTCTCCTTCTGGTCACACACAAAAGGCGTGTGGAAGGAGCTGAGCCATCCTGATCAGCACCTCAGGGCACAGGATGAGAAACTGAGAACCCTATTAATATTTAAATGTGACCTCTTCCACACAGTGTGCAGAGGGCTCACCGTACAGCACGGTGCTGCTCCCCACACAAGGTCCCAGGGCACAGGGCAGTCCTCACAGCCCTCAAACACATACACACAGAAAACAAACAGCTCTCTGCGCTCCTGCACTCACCTGCAAGCGGCAGCAGGAGCAGCTCAGCATTCATGGATCGACTGAGATGCGGTTCACTGATTATGAGAAACGGGCAAAACTCAGACAACCTGGGGGACTTCGGGGGAAGTACAGCAAGGTAACCCAGTGTGAAAGCAGCTCCCCAGCCGCTCGCAGACAGAAGCTTCCAGCGATTAGGGAGCTGCAACGGCTGAGAACGGCTCCTCTGCTCCTGCGCTTCAGCCCCTGCCCCGTCCCTGCCGCTCACACGGTGCTGCCCGGCCCGGGGCAGAGCTGCAGGAAGACGGCGCAGCAGCGCGTGCTGGCAAAACTCGCTGTGGAAACTGGGGTCTTGCAGTGGAAAAAAGGCAAACGGGAGCCAGGCGGCTGCACGCTGCCGGTTTGGCTGCCTAAGCGTTCACGTCACCTTCCCAGGCGAAATTCCACTCCGCTCCACGAGGAGCGAGGAGGCAGGGGGAGGCAGAAGGGCAGCAGAACAACGCCCGCCGGCCCCGCACCACGACGGCCCGCAGGCCGCGCTCCCCCTCGAGGCCGACAGCGCCCGGCACCGCAGCCCCGCGGGGACGCGGACGGGCCCTCAGCGGCTGGACTCGGGGCGGCGCTGCGGGACGCGGGCCCGGACGCCGCCGTTACGGACGGGCTCCGCCGAGAAGAGCGGTCCGGGCCCGGCTGCCCGCCCTCCCCCGACCCACCCCCCCCGGAACCGGCGGCGCGGCCCCCCCGGCCTCACCTCGGCCCACGCGGCCCTCGAGCGGGTCCTTGCGGAAGTGGATGCCGTTCACGTCCACATGGGCATCGCCGCCCGCGTTGACGGCCCAGACCACGCTGTCGGCGAGGCCGCCCGCCGCGCCCCGCAGCAGCGCCGGCAGCAGCAGCAGCAGCACCGGCAGCGGCGCCCCGCGCGCCCCGGCGCCCACCATCTCGGGCTCCAGGCGCTGCGCCCGCCGCCCGCCCCTTCCTGCTGTCGCCTGGGGGCGCCCTAACCCGCTGCCGGGGCGGGCCGAGCGCCGACCAATCCACAAGCCGCGAATGGAATATTAAATCTACGTCCGTTCCCTATTGGACAGCCTCGAGACGTTATCTGCATATTCATGACGCGCACGACCAATGGCGAACGGGAGCGGGAGAGTAGGCTCGACCGGGAGGCGCGGGGATGGCGGCGCAGCGGTGGGAGGCGTGACCGGCCGGAGCGCAGCGGCGCTGAGTGGGCCGCGCGGAGTGGGGAGCGGAGCTGCCGACAGCGAGCCGGGACTACCCCGGGCCGGTACCGGCTCTCCCGGAAAGAACAGCGGCGGCACAAACCAGAGCGACAGCACGAAGCGCGGCCTCAGATCGACATGCCGCCGTGCGCCTGAGGAGGAGCCGCGCCCACTGCGCTCCGCCAATCACGGAGCTCCAGCGCGGCCCGAACGCGAAGCATTGTGGGACGGCGGGAAGCGGGAGCTCGGCGGGTTGCCGGGCAACGGCGGGGAGCGGCGCGGGGCTCGCGCGTTCCTGGGGCGGGCAGCGGGGCCGCGGCTGTTCAGTGCTCTGCTTCCCTTCCGTCTGAGGGCTCAGCCTTTTTAGCTAGCGAAGCACTGAGCGTCGCAACACCTCCTGCCAGGAGCAGAGCACGTGCCAGTAACTAACCTGGAGGATGATTCGCCAATAATTAGCGAGCTAGCTTGAAGCAAGAGGGATTAGCGGAGCAAGGAGTGAGATCGGGCAGGAGGAGCACTTGTCCTGCCACCAGCAGAGCAAGGTGGGTGTGCCGTGATGACCTGCACCCGTGATGTCCCACGCCGCTGCCACATAATGGCTACCTGCAGCCACTGATGGCCTGGATTGCACCCCAGAGGCTCTGTGTGTTGCTGCTAATCCATTGAACTTCCCGGTCAGGCAGGATTTAAACCAGTAACCTACAAGTGAAAGGCTCAGGGTTGTTGTCTCGACCCCTTGATCTCCCTGTCACCTGGCAGCTGTGCTGAAATAACTCCCAGTTGGGAATTAGGCCCACCTGGTCTGCAGCCCTGCTGCTCCACGTGTGGGACGTGTGTTTTGGATATTAGCCATTTCCTGCAGGAAAAAGAGATCAGGATATCTAAAAGGAGCGATGGAGAAATGCGGGGCAGAAACAGACTTTGTGGCTGCAACAGAGAAGAGATATCTGAGAGGTCAATATGAGCCAGCCTCACTGCCGGGCCAGATCCAAGCCAACTGCACGGGTCTGGTGTGCCTGGAGGGACCTGCTCTGCCTCATTGTCTGGAGCTATTTGGAAGGCTCCCTAATAGGGGTTTGAAGATGAGAGCAAAAGGATTATCTCTGGAATTAGATTATTTAAATTGGAGCTTTAATCTCTGGCCCTGCCAGCACAAGAAAATAAGAAAACTCCCTGGGATTATTTGGGTTTTGTTATGCAAACAAAACCAGCAAGAGCTTGTGGCAGGACAAAAATGAATGCTTGGAGACCTGCCCTGTCTGACCTGTTTGATGTATCACGGGAAGACCTGGCAGGAAAGAGCTGGAGGTCATGTAGCAGAGGCTTAGCTTTCCTCGAAAGCAGCTGTGGCTCCAGGACTGCCAATGGCACAAAGGTGCTCTGTGGCCACCCCTACCCCATGCCAGCACCCCAGTGCTTCTAGGGAAGACATATACAGCCCTGCCAGGTTGCAGACACAGGAACCCATGTAAGTTAGCAGGGGTCATCTCCATCCACTATGACACTGTGCTTGGGGACAATCCTGTGCAGTGCAAGGCACTGCAGCCTCCAGAAATACATTTATTATTTTAAATAAATTAAGGCTGTGTCCTTCAATCTGCTGCTGTGAGCAGAGCAACGTGTCGGTTCAAGTTGGCTGTTGGCTCCTCTTCCCACCAATGCCTGTTGGGTTTCTGCATGCTAGCTCCAGCACAGGGCTCAGGCCGGGTTGTTGCTGGTCTCGGCAGCCAGCCAGTCACTGTGGCACACAGGCTAGCAGCAAATCCAAACTCTCAGCATACATAAATGCTTCTCCCTCAATGGGCTCCAATGTAAGTAAAGCACATCTGCATGCAGACACAAGCCTGAACAGGTCTGACTCCTCTGCAGTATTATCCTAAGCACACACATGGCACACCAGGACTCTGGACTCTGCTCAGTTTATCGCCCTTACCCTCCCCTAAGCCCAGTACAGCTGCTGTGCTGTACATTTTCCAATTTCTCAGCTCCAACACACATTTCTAAGATGACCAGCTACAATGATAAATAGAAACAGACACAGAGTCTGCACACACCCACTGGCAAATAAACTTTTTTTGCTGCGCTGCCAGGTACCTACTTGCATTCCCTTTTGTGTGTGCACACAAACCTAGGCCAGTGCATGTGCTTGTGCAAACACGGTTACATGCACATACAAAAAGCATAGTTCTTCCACTGCTGGGTTTTAGTTGTTGCTGCAACTATGCTAGTTGGCACAGCAACGGGAAAGCAGAAGAGAAAATCCCCCTTTGGGATGTGGATTTGTGGACCCTGATAACACAAGAGGGAGCTTGGGAATTGAGAGATCTGTGATGAAGAAAGCAGAAGGATATTGGTCTCCAATCTCCAGTGTGGAGGAAGCAGGCAGCGGGAGAAAACAGCTCCCAGTTGCACTGAGAAACCTATAGCAATCATGATGTCTTTTGAAGTCAAGCAGGAATTCGCCCTGGTGATTCATGACAGAGCCTCTGCATAGAGAAAAGGGATAACTGCAGGTCCTGGGGGGTAGGAAAACAGAGCGGGAGGTTGTGAGCAGCTTGGGAAAAGGAGAAGGACAAGGGTGTCTGGAAGCAGCAGGCAGGGTGTGGAAGCTACTGCCATGGTCACTGCTGCAGGAATGCAGGATTCTCAAGTGTGATCAAGCTGGAGAATGGGGCCCCACCACACAAGGAGTCCACAGGGCTTCTGGCCAATCCTCAGCACCAACGGTTACAACAGCCCCACAGCACAGTCCTTCACTGTGCATACACTGACAGTCAGGTTTGAAAATGTCCAAAAATGGGAGGGTAGATATGGCTGCCTCACCTGGTGCCATTCCTCCTGTTGCTCCTCACTCCGGGTCTGCAGGAGCTCTCACTCGCCCCATTGCAAGTGGGGTGGAGAGGTGGGGGCCAGCAGCAGGGAGGGCAGAGCCCGGCTTCAGGCTTTGTGGCTGGCAGGGTCTCCCTGTCCCACAGCCAGGACCGGCCCTGAATCCTGGTGCAACATGCCAACGTGTGTATCTGCCACAGCCCTTCCCCCCAGCCCCACCACCGCCTCTCACACGGACATCCAGGCTCCACATCATTTCAGCGTGCATATTTATCGCTTTCCCCCCACAAGACATGTATTTGAATTTACTTCTGGTAAACATAACCACGGGAGATGCAAATTTGTGCTGAGGAAGCATAAATAACTCCACACAGATAGACACACGCATAGACAGCAAACACAGACAGGGTTCACCAAGGGAAACCAAGAAGTGCAGAGCACGCCCTGAGGCTGCCACCAGTTCCAATGGCTTTGCTCTCATCCACCAAGCCAAAAGGATTTCTCCTGCTCTTGCTTTGCAGCAACTGGTGGGAGAATGAAGCTGGGAAGGAGGAGTCTAAAGTTGCAAATAACCCATGAAAGCATCATGGCAAGTCCTGGCTCTGCAGTTTCCTGCAATCATCTCAAAGGAATGGTTCCAGTTGTAGGAAGTTGTAAGTCTTTCACAGTGTGAAAGGGTGGAGGGGCATGGGGACCACTGTGAGGGAGGAGCAGCAGGTCATCTTGCAATGTCCCATTTGCAGCCAGCCGATAAACCTTCCTGTGGGAACATCGGGGCTAGATGCTCCATCTAGGTCCTCTTCTGCCCTCTCTAAGGTGCTGATTTTTCTTTAGCTGAGAATATTCTTCAGCGGGACATCATGCGAACAAACTCTGCAACCAACAAGAAAAGACAGCCCTGAAGCAGAAAACACCCCTGGTCTCCAACCCAGCTCTCATTCCATGGAGACGTGCAGCCAGTGGACACTGGGGCTCCACACGCTGCCAATAAATTAGTGCAATTCCATGGCTGGCCCTGAGGAGCTCACACAAAACGGGCTTTAATCCTTGTGTTAGGTAAGGTAATATGATCCCCGTAGCAGGGCAGTTCATTTCCTCTGATCCTTCCCAGAGCACAGCCTTGTTTGCACAACCAACTCCCTGGAACAAATTATTGCAAATTTTATTTTTTTTATATTTATATTTCCTCCTTTCACTGTAATTTCAGAGCAGGCTGGTTTGTAGCCTTGGGATGACAGCACAAGTTCTTAGCAAGCCTGCTAAGCCTGCTAAGCCTGCCACTTGCAGGAGACCCAGTGTTGGAGAGCACTAATGTTTTAGTAGGTACCAGTATTTATTTGTATAGAAAAGTTTGCTTTGATGGATTACTTGTTTTTGAAGATACAGATTAACTGGAAGGATATCCTGGATCTATTTCTTCACCACCCTGCAGCTTGTGAAGTCAATTACAAGAGTTAAAATCGAGTGCAGATGCCATCAAATATAAATGTGTTTTCATTCTACACTTGAACTGACCGGAAATTAATAACCACAAAGAGGAGGGCAGTGGAAATTACCCCTTTGGCTCCTCTTTTTCTGTTGATGGAGCTGTCCTTTGACAACTAAAGCAGTAACTCACTGAGAAAATGATACTAGTATTTCATGTATTTTAACTGTCTAACACAATTCAGCTGCCGGGAACAAGGAGAGCTACTGTCGTGTAATCAGTGCATTAGAACATCTGCACTAGGAAAACAAGCAGCCTGCCGTGTTCTTGTGCCTTCCAACTCTTGTGTATGCTTAATTGTCTGATGACAGCAACTGCTTTCCTTACCAGGAACCCTGAGCTCTATTAACATTACTTGTGCCACGCCTAATGTCCAGGATAGTACCATAACCAATCTTACTCTTTCCAACTCCTTCTGGCATGGGAAGTGGGAGAAGAAATGAATTCTCTCTAGGATTAAACGTGATCTAGAGGATCAGCTATCAACAGTGCTAGTGGCACAACTAGCACGTGACCAACTTCTGGGATAAAGGTACAGAAACAAAATCTCTATAAACCAGACGGTAAGGTGAGCGAGAGGAAATGAAGGGTGCAATGCAACCTCCAAACCTGCACCAGTCTCCTCACAGCTCTTGCAATAGATTGAATGGGAAGAAAATGCCCCCTAAAATGAAGTCTGGCACTGCATACGAGCAGCAGAAGCTCTTTCTCTGTGACAGGACATATCTCTTCCTATGCTAGAACTGCTGATACTAGATTGAAATAGCAGTGCAGCACAAGAAGGATACACAAACAAATACTCAGCTAAGGAATTATTTCTTTTTTTTCCTCCATACGTCAGATATCTGGACTCAGAGCATGCAAATCTTCCTTTCTGCTTCCACCTCCAAGCTGAAGCTCTGCCTCACACGACAGCAGATGGACAGGGAGCATTCGTCCCTTCTCACCTTCAAAGTCAACGCGCCCATCTCCATTCAGATCCACGTCCCGGATGATCTCTTCAATATCCCGATGACCCACCTGCTGCCCTAGAAGCTTCTTCATGGCTTCTCGCAGCTCACTGGTGCTGATCTCCCCATCACCATTAGTGTCAAACTGCAAGTACATGCAAAAATACCAGCAGGGGAAATACAGTTAAGGAAAATGGATCTTGCGTTGGGTTGGACTTTGTATTGCCCTGCTCTTGAGTGCCCTATTTTTTCTGCATGCCTTTTGTGTCCATCTTTTTCCTCCTTCATGTTCCTTTTGGTCTGGATTCGGTATGCCTTTTCTCCTCAAAAACCTCTCATCACTACCACGTCTGCAACAGCTTTCCTCTTCCTTTCCTCAAGAGTTCCCTTATCTGAGTGTTCTCTGCTCCTCCCTTGTTTCATGCCTGGTTGGCTCTTTCTCATTCTTCCATTCTGCTGCTCTCTCCTCCTCTTTTCTTCCCCCCAGATCTTCTCTCTTTCCTGTTTCCTGTCACTCACCTTGGGGCCACAAGGTAAGAAGCACTCACCTCTCTGAAGGCATCACGGAGCTCTTTTACACCAATCATGTCTGCAGTTTCTGCCAGCAGCTTTGGTCCCATCAGCTCAACAAAATCTTCAAAATCCACATGGCCACCCACTTGGGATAAGATGAAAGATTGTGTGTAAGAACTCAATTTGTTAGCCAAGCTGAGCAGTCCCTTTGCACTTCAGCATGCCCCAGAGGGCTTGGTTCTGCCGGCAGCAAAGCACGGAAGGTGGAGGGCAGTGGAAAGAAAAGCACAGGTACTTTTACAGTGTCTTGTATTTCCTGGATTGTAGGATAGGTAGAATGAGCCCAAGCTACTTCATCCTATGGTGCCACAGATTGTCACATCCTTATGGCATCATGCACCAAGAATTAAAGGCTTGATCCTACTACAGCTTATAGCAACCCTCTGCTGTACCTGTGCCAGTGGATTCGGCAAAGGCACAGCACGATGTTCCTGCCTGGCCCGGGCAGTGCCATGCAGCAGTGTCTTACTCCATGAGCTGTGGCTAATGTATGTCCAATTGTTTACTCATCAGATTTATCCTTTTTCTTGTTTGTCCTCTATCTGAAAGCTGGCACTAACACCCTGCAGTTCCTAATCACTTGAGTGCTATAGCCATCAGCTGTTCTTTACGTGTGAATGGTCGTATATGTTACAACTGCTGGTCCCTTCTCTTTTCTACACAGGTCTATGTCAAAAACAACATGCATGAAATATTCATTTTTCCACCTGGCTAAAGGTAACATCCTACACTGCCACAGACAAGTGGTGACAAAAACCAGTGGTGAAAGACAAGGGCACAAACAATCACAGTGCATCAGACAGATCTGCAACATTTTGCCTCGCCTCCACCAGCACAGCTCACAGACCATCTGCAGGCACACAGCCAATGCACAAACACCAGAGCAGACCAAACAGCCCATCCACCACCCATTCTGACCAAAGCACCTCCATCTTCCCCATCTCCTTCTTTAGTATGATGCCATCTGACACCAGCTTCGGTGTGATGACATCCATGACATGTACACTAATGTCTGACTGTCCAAATCAAGGGCATCTGAAAGATTTAAGCATGGTGGACACAGCTACTCCTTGTGTTGCTCACACAAAACACAGTCCAAACAGTCCTCTCTTTTAGTAAACCAAAAAAACCCAGCACATCAAGTGCTTGGGACCACAACTGAACAGAGAAATGATGGGGAGCAAAACATGAGAATGAAAAAAGGGAGGGAAAGAAAAAGAGGAGAAAAAAAAAATAAAATGAATGGAAACAACAAGAGACTGAAGCAGCCCAAAGCAGCGATGCAGGGCACAGCAGCCACAGGAAGGTACAGATGGGTGGATATTACTCACAGTTCATGTTGATCTGCTGGGAGAGTTCTATGAGCTCCATTTCAGTAGGCATGTAGCCCATGGTTCGCATGCAGTTCCCCAGGTCCCTGCAGTTAATAAACCCATCCTTGTCTTTATCAAACTCCTTAAAGGCTTCTCTTAATTCTGCAGGAGTGGATCCAAAAAGAATGAAATTGTCAGTGGCAGCCTGAAATACCTTCTCCAAGAAACCTCCCCAGAAGCAGCATTTTATGAGGCCTGACTCTCCAAGACACACACATTTCCTAGCAGATATCCCTATGAAGAAGCAATGACTGGAGTAACGTTAAACTCTTCTATCAGCATTGCTGATAGAGCTGATATTGCTGATTTCATTACAAGAAGGCATGCTTTGACTGCAGAGGCTTTGAAGTATCACGGACTGATGTCTCTTAAACTGCGCTCCCAAAAGAAACTGGAAGTAGTAAGTTTTCCCATCTTTCACCCATGCACTATATTTGATAGTCCTGACTGCAAGGATGAGCTTCCTTAAAGCCAAACCCCTTTGTCATGCTCTTCAATACTTCCTGTGGGAGTTGGGTGTACAGCAGCTCTCTGACAGCCAATCTCCCTTTTCCTCATTTATCCTCCTCACACTGCACTGCCTGTAAATTCCTCTACAGTCAGCATTGTTGCAGTTTTACATATTATTTATTTTGCTAGGATTGCCAGGAATTATTCCAGCAATTTGCCCAAATTATTTTACACCCTGGGGGCCAACCTGGAACGGCCAGCCAGCATGTTTTTACTGGACAGAGAGAAAGGTGACACAGAAGGAGCGACAAGTTTTACCTTCAATTTCTTCTGGACGCAGTTCTCTATCCTGCAAAAACAGAACACACTACGTTTAAGTCATCTGCTTACCTCAGACAAAATTTCAGAACAGCGCTTGTTGGGGCAAACAGTTTTGGGGACAAGCCAGAAAGCAAGAGAAGAAACAAGAAGGTGATGACATGTTTAATACCATCTACCTAGCTTTTCTGTGGAAGCCCCTCTCCATCCCATCTGCTGCACAGGGCTGTGAAGGATATTCCCCCAAACAGAAGAAACCTGGGCCAGCATAAGCCCTGCATGTGGCATCCCCACCTGACAGTGCTGTGAGTATCACAGGGCTCCTTGCGTCATTCCCCAGCACAAGTCCTGGAGCACAGACTGGCCCTGCAGCTGCTCTAAAGCTCTGATTGTATTTCCTTCCTACTGCAGCTCCTGTCGAAACAGCCGGATTCAAAATAGCTGGAAGATGCTCCTGCCACCAGAAGCTACAGCACTGTCTGCTTGGATCCCTGCCTGATCCCTGCCCTGCTAGCGGGACAAGGACAGCCAAGAGCAATCCTCCAGCCAATGCCCCCATGCCATCTCCTGCAGTCAGTCACCCCAGGAAGACAGGAGCTCTCCCCTTCCCCCCAGCCTCACACAAGCACTTTGGAACCAGGCAGACACACAACATATACATCCTCAAGGTCATCTACAAACAAAACAGGACAAGGATTCACCATGTTCAGGAAACACTGCAACATCCAATTTGAATTTCTTGGAAGAAGGGGGAGGATATAAAAAAGTATAGGAAAATTCCAACACTGCATCAAGAAGAAGAGACGAGCATGGAAATGCACTGCTTTCTGGTTTAAATGCCCTTTCTAATTCCTCTCATGGCTCCCAGGCAAATCCAAAACATCAGTGAATTTGGAAACACAGAAAAGCAATCTCTTTTGTCGTCTGACTCTCGGCTCTTCCCCTCAGCCATGGGGAGTTTCTCCTTGCCTTCCGGGTGTCCTGCAGTCTCACCGCACGTCCCCGGAGACAGTGCCCTTGAACAGTTTGAGAAGGGTGATCCTTTGCTATGTAACCACAGGCTCCTCTGGAAACTAATGGCGGCTGCTCAGAGTGCACAGCAAACTAGGACACACGCTGGTTTACGTCTATGCAAAAGGGGCTGTGCCAGAGCAGTGACCAGCTTGCCACTCATAACCTTCCCAGAGGCATCTCTGCGCTGGATGGAGCAGTCAGAGCATGCTGGCTCTGCAGCTTCATCCTTCACAGACCTGGTATTTTCAAACATGTCATCCCATTTGTTCTGCTTTCATTAACACCGAGCAATAAAGCAGTCCGACCCCCACGTACCGGATGCAGGAGGCTTTATTGCCCTCCTGCCTCAGATAAAGCAGCAGATGAGAACCGCTGTGGGCAGCACCGACACCGCGTGCACCTCGCTGCAAAGAGCTCACACACATTGCTCCCCGGGGTGCTGCAGCTGCAGCTGTGGTACCAACAGTGGCAGAACTGCTGTCTTGTGAGAGTGCCTGAGGACGGGCCCAGGCCTTCCTCCAGTGCAGCATCACAACCTGTCCTCCTCCCCACTCACCACGTTGCAAGCAACATGACCGACACGTGTCAGAAATGAGGGCTTCAGCTCTAATTCCACGCACCGAGGCATTCGCGTTTGCAGGGCTCCAAGCATATCTTTGCACATGCAGATTCTATCATCAGAGCCACAGGCTGCGAATGCAAAAGGAGGAGGAGGGTTTGCGTCCCTCCAAAAATGTGACTCAAGTGGGAACTAACGTCACGGAGAGGTTTTCTGGTTTAAATTTGAGAAAAGAATTTGAGAAAATAAAAAGATAAAGGAGGAAAATAGCTCGAGAAGAAATGGGCTGAATCACTCTAATGCTTTTGGAGAACATACGGAAAGAGGAATACAACTGTTCAGAGTTTAGATCCTAGACATGAGCAGAGGTGACCCTCAGAAAGTCCATTTTACATAATGGTCTTACTCTCATTTATTTCTGTTCCATGCACAGTAAATCCAGTTGGTCTAGAGAGTCAGTAAAAATAAAGCTGTTTATCAGATGCATTTATTCTACAACAGGGCAGAGACATTGCTAATCCTATTTTGGAAATATCTTAGGGTACGCTGACTTTGCAGGGCTGAGCACGGCTACCTGTCAGCCTGAGCCTTCTGCGAGGAGCTGGGCCCGTTTCCTGCAGTGGCAGCACTGTCCGTGCGCTGGTGTCACACTGTCACACCTCGTGTTTCAATGAACTGACTTAAGGAATGTGATCACTTAGTGGTTGAAGATTAAGAACAAAATCCCTTTGATCAATAATGACTGACTGCAGTTCTTTTTTGGGTTATCGGTTGAAAATGAGGTTTTGGAAATAAAGATCTGGATGTCTCCTCCAGCTGTACATAACTGTGTCAGTGCACAACTGTGGGAGGCATCTCCTAGAGGGGCAAGAAAGCTCTGTCAGGTAATTGGGGTGAGTTTTGTTTTATCAGAAGAATATGAAATGCACTGGATTGGTGTGTAACATTGCACATCCTCACTCATCAGGCTTCTTTGTGCATGTCTTTAAATACATTGTTGTCAGAATCGAACCTTATGTGCAAAACCACACGTTACTTCTTGAAAAGATGTGATATTGAGGTGCATGCCCTGTATATTTAACATGTCCACATGCATACATTTGAATTTATATACAAAGGTATTTTTTCATTGTTTATGTGCAGATACACATGAACACAGTCACAAATAGGAGTGGATAGATGTGTTTTTGCTATCTATCTGTGTGTACAGGCAATAGCATTTGGCCGTCTGGCACTATTTACCAACATGAGGACAGACTGATGTTCTTTGGTTTCTTTGGCTGGGAATGCTGCAGTGTCAGGCTGCGTATAAGAGTGTATGAGAGACTACATTTGGGCTTCTGCAAGGAGGCAGATGCATGCTCGTTTCTGCTTGTATTAGCATGCTTGCTGTGAGCTGACAGCAACAGTAACAAATACAGGCATCTCTGTGGGACAGCTTGTTCCCAATATGGATGCCCTGATTTGCATGAAAGCGACTATTTAGCCCTAAATGCTAATCTGAGCCTCTGGGAATGTGAGGTTGACGTCCTGCTGGAACAACAGCTTTGAATACTGGACTCCTCTGGAGTCCATCTGATTGCGTAAGACCCGAGGTCCTAAATTCTTCTCCTAAATCCATGGAACTTCATCTGCTTGAGTTTAGGCTTTGATCTATTTTTCACAGCTGCGCTTTTAGAATCCCCCTGACTTGGTGTTTAGGCACAGGGATATCTTTGCACATCCTTCAGGTTAGACATTTGCTCATGATTGCATTTGCTGGAGCTGGAGCCGGGATGCTGGAGGCCCAGGGCCGGGGGTTACAGAGCTCCACGCACACGGGGCACACAGGCAGCCCCGCATCCCTGGCTCAGGTCCACGTGGCTTAGTGCATGTCTCGCCCGGCAGGGTGTAACTTACGTACAGGCTGCCTGTTTTCTGCGAAGCCCTTCCTCAGGAAGATGCATGCTGGCCCCAGCAGGTTGTGCATGACGGCGCAGTTCTGGGCCAGCACCATGAGCGGACCCTGGTACTCCGACGGCCCCTCTTCGCTCGTCTGGACAGCCTTATAGCACGTCTTCTCCTCATGGCGGATCTTCCCAGCCAACCAGCAGCAAGCAAACAATACAACAGAGGATGTTACCTCCCTGTCTCACCCAGCCTTTCCTCTGAAGATTTACTGAACCGCCTCGCAGAGCCATTATTGCTAAATTTCCTTCATCCGGTCCACGCTGCGTCCCCCCCACTGATCTATTATGGGCTGTATAGAAGCACTAAGTCCAGCAGTTCACTTTCAAAAGCTGACAGAAGTACAGCCGACCGAGAGAATTTCGCTTTGAAACGACATCAAACTCTCAACTCTCACATCTACCCAGGGAGAGCCCAAAGGGCTGAGCTCCCACTGCCGGCTCCAGAGTTAATGATTCCTCAAGTGAGCTGCCAAGGCCAAGCACAGCCCGGCACAACGGGACGCGTGCCCTGGGCAGAGCTGCTGGCAGAGCTGTGTTGGCCAAGGCCTCCCCAGGAGGCGAGGCAGGGCCTCCCCAGACGCTCTGGCTCCACTTTACGTTTCATCAGCCAGCATCACGCACAATACAGTGTTATCAAAAGGCCTTTTAGGGCATCAGGTGGCTCTGCCAGCAGCGGGCTCACACTCCTTGTTCCAGTGCTAATTAGTTACATCCTCAAGGTTTCAGGCAGTTACTGCACTGACCTCTTCTCATTGCTTACATTTCCAAGTGTAGAGCAGTCACAAGCACAACAGTTTTGTCTGTTTGCATTTGCACATTTTTATAAGTGCACGTCCTGCTAAGCTGGGGCTCCAGAACAGAATCCAGCACTGGGTTTTATAAGGAGGCACTGCTTTCCTTTTATAGAAATGCATTTCCCTGGCTCTGCAAAAAACATCTTATCCTGATATTCCCATGCAGCTATAAAAAGCCAGCACAACCCACAGGACCCTTGGTTTTATAGAATAAACATTAATCATACATCAGATTCCTCTTCAGGAATGACTACTTTTACAGCCAGTGTTCCCAGGGGTGATCAGAGATGCTGTCAATTGTCACTGTCTCCTCCATTAACCCTTTCCTTAAAGCCTGAGGTGCTTTTTCAGGCTAAAGCATCTCTCTCTCTCTCTCTCTCTCTCACACACACACACACACACACACACTTCTCTCACACTTATCCAAACCTATTGTATCTATTTGCTGTGTCTACCGTGTGCCACTGCCTCGCACACATGGCTCATTGTTTGCATTTTTATGGTCTTACACCAATCTGCTGGTGTATAATGTCATGTGAATATTAAGCATCAAAACAAAAGCAAGCTGCAAAGAAAGAAAATCATCAAGCAGAAAAGCATTTTCGTTGCAGTCATGGAAAAGGTGAAAATCTGTCTCCAATTCAGTGTGACACACAGGACACTTGTGCTTAAAAACCTAAAAGATGAGCATCCATCCACAACTGGCATATTACCAGCTCAGCTAAATATCATGGCATCTGTGTTGAGCTGCATAGCTTCGTGACATCAGCACAATGTCATTTCAAAAATTACCAGCTTTTATTCTTAGCACATTTTTTCAGTTCAGTATTGCAAATAATACGGCTCACTTAAAATAGCCCACATCAGTTCTGCTTTTAATTCCAGTGAAGACAGATGAAAGACCAAAGGCCCCATAGCCTGCACCTAATCCTTGTTTTCTGACCCTTCCAGTTAATTGAGCTTCCTGCCAATTCACTCAGCAGTAACTGAAGGACGATCGTCCCATTATTTTCCTGTGTGTGTAAATATTGCCAGTTTGATGAAGCAGTTGCCAGGAGCAGTGAAGAGCTGGCCAGACACCCAGTGCCAGGTCTCTCAGTGTGACACCTGCAGGGGCTCCTGCCCTGCCTGGCAGATCCAGGCAGGATTCCCTCTGCCTAGCAGCCTCCCAGGTTTCTCCTGAAAGCATTCCTTCTACTACATTCCTTTATCCAGGCAGAGCCAGGAGGAAAGCCATGAGAGGGGAGCAAAGCAATGTCAGCTGCCTGTTAGAGGGGGAAGGCAACATGCACAACAAGGCAAATACAAGGAAAGGACAGGGTCTGCATGCCAGAGGGTCGTTGCTGAGCACCAGGTCCAGAGGTGCCTCTTCATCACCACTGAGGGTAGAAAGGCACCAGGCTGGCCAGCAGGGTCCCTGGGGAAAGCAAGCCTGCTGCCTGCCAGCACTGGGAGACAGAAAGCCTGAACATTATCACCAAACAGACAAGGATGAGTCCCTGACCAGGCCAGCCAGCACCTGGAAAGAGACCCCAGCTTTCTGGTTGAAGTCACATATTGAAGAGAATAAATCCAGTTACCCAAGCTCAGCTTTCACACACACATCATCTACAGTTGCCATTTCAGTGAAGTGCAAGAAAAGTATGAGCAGGTAATGTCCCTCCAACAACTTTCCCTCAGGAATGGATATTATGAGCAAAAGGCCTTCAGATTCCTAAGCCATTCTCCTAATCATCTTAACTCTGTTTCCACCCGCTGAGGCAGGAGCACATGGCGAAGATCAGAGCAATGAGAAAGCTGTGCCTGGTGGTTCAGGCTTAACAGCAAAGTAGTGCTGTGGTCCCAGGACCTTCACATTCAAAGGAGCTTTAGGGAGACAGGAGTGGGGTGAGGACATAGGAGAGAAGCAGGCAGAGAACGATTACTTCTTCCCAGTATAACTTTGTACCACCCAGGGCCCAGCTCCTCATCTTCCTCACTGCCTTCCCTCTGAGTTTGTCCCAGGTAAAATCTGAGAAAAAAAAGCCAAGGATAACAAAAAAGGCCAAATGAAGATGTACAGCATGAGTGACCTACCAAGCATCCAGCATAACCACGTGTGTTACAGCCTGGAGGACAGCACAGCCCCCAGGATATCTCAGAATTAGTTCCTGAGGCTGGGCTGAAGTCTGAGAATTCTCTAACTCAGCTTCTTAACTTCCTCTCTTTAGTCCTGCCTTCCCAGGCCTTCTCAATAGCACTTCTAAAGTGCAGTATTTGAAGCAGCTTTTAGGAATGAAAGCATAAATTACCTAAAAGACTGATCACACAGAGTTTGTAAGTTATTCAGTCTATTTTGATTCAAGAAGCCTGGCCACACTTCAGACTTTAATTGCAATTTCCTTGATCATGTTGAGCACAGCTGCAGCCAGCTCCTTTCATTGCAAGTCGGAGGCAACCTAGGAACAGCCAAAGTGCTCTTCTTTCAGATGTGCATTTGGGTAAGCCTCACCTACTGCCTCTTCCTGAAGGTCACCCTGACCCAGGGGCTGGTCTTGGCACTATCAAACTGCCCGATGATGAACTCCCTCCTCATGTATCCTAGCTGTCCCTTAGTGCCACAGCTATATCATTACTGACCTTGTTTACAGCTGCTAACAAGTAAACTGTGCTCCCACACAGAAGAGGCACAACTTAGGCCTCCCTAGCAGAGAAGTGCTCTGCTCACTGCAAGGTTTCCTGCATGCAGCATCCCGAGGGCAGTGGCATTTGCTGCCAGCAAGGTCTCTCCAGATGTAGCTCTTCATTTAAATATTTCAGATGCTTAGCCTAACTTCATGAGGGAATCAACCAGCTTTTCGCTGAGTTATTGGATTTTCAGCAATGCAGAGCAAGAGCTGTGTGGCTGACAGGTACACAGTGCTGCAACACCTTCTGCAGTCAGACAAGAACTACCACTAGGACAAATTGTTCTCACTGCAGTCTGGTCCCTAAAAGCAGAATAATCCCTGAATCTAATTCATCCTGGGACCATTTTAAAACCTCAGCACAGAGCAGTTTGTGGACTTGAGCCTAACAGGCACATGTGGCAGCTTGCATATGAAGTGCAGCACACACATGGGCCATACTGACGTGCAACACAACGCATGAACACGCAGCTAATGCCTCTGTCCATACCTCTAAGGCATGGACAGATTGCAGAAAAACATGCTTCTGTACCCAAATGCATACCAGCAATATGTGCGTATGGAAAGATGGATACACATAAAAACATATGCCTGCCTACAGACAGACTTCTGTGAGGACATGCACTATGAGACAGGCACACACAGCCATACGAGCAGGGATAGGTGTGTCACACACCTTCCCCACGTGCACACACACAACAAACACTGCCACCTGCTCACACACCTCTGAGAGAGTATGTAGAGACATAAAGGACACACGCATACAGATATGCTCATTAACTGTGCTGATTTGTGCTATGTCCCAACAGGAGTACATATGAACACACACCCATTCACATGTCCATGAATGTATGTCCCAGGAGAAACGACACACACAACCAGACACATGCAGACACCTCTTGGTTGAAGCACACGCACACACGTGTGCACACGTACTCAAACTGACAGGTTTACACATACACTGAGATGCACTGACAGTGCACACCAGTGTGTTGTGCACATCGGCAGGGACAAACCTGCACACACAGCAGTGGTCAGCTGCACAGCCACGGAGTGGGGCACACACCTACTCACGTGCATGCATGTGCACACACTGATTTACGCTCACATAGTGGCATCCCAGGCTCTAGTGGCTGCACCTGCACGTGCAGCTCTTACAGAAAAGACTCCTGCAGAGATCTGAACCCTTTGTACACATCCTCGTGTCTCTCCCACCTCCCTTTCCCATCTGCCCACGACGTCACCCATCCCAAGAAGTGGGGGTGGAAACGCACAATGCACTTTGATTTGGGGAACATACCTTTTTCGAGAGGTTTCTCAGTGGAGACTTCACACAGTTGCCCATAATATGTTGAGTCTGCCTTTCCGGTGGACTTGGTTATAAAGGAACTGAAGCAAATGATCCCATTAAAGGTATTCCTTGGGAGCAAAGCAAGAAAGGCAGCGCAAGGCAAATCCAAACAGCTACTGGCTGCTGGGGCTTCCCTCTTCAGGGAGCTTTTTCTCTCTCTGCCTCTCTCTCTCCGTGCTTTTACTTTATGTTCACTTTCTTGAAGAGATGAAGCAGGAAGGAGAGGGAGGGGAGAGAAACAGACAGAAAGAGGGAGAGAGAGGGAGAGAGAGTGAGAAGGGGAGAGAGGGAGGCGGATGTATAATCTACATCAGATTAATGTTCAAATCCCTCCCACCCCCCTCAATCTGCAGGCAAGATTGTTTCACTCATGGGAGAGGGCTGATTCAGGCAGAATTAAAACAGAGAGGCACTGCAAGAAGCGATTTCGGTGATGAGTTCAGCGAATCCAGCTAGTTTGGGTACACACAGCCTCTAACACCACAACCCTCCCCACCCCCCTTCTGACTCCTCTCGGCTTTTCAATCACCGGAGAGCTAGGCTGGCCAGAAGGCAATCCACTTAGGGGCTTGGAGCAGAGTGCAGAGCTCGTTTTGGAGCAGAAATGGACCATTTAGCTGCGTGGGACCTGTTTCAGCTTGTAAAGACTAGCAGACCCACAAGTCCCTCAATCTTTTCCTGCCACAGTGGAAGCAAGCCGGGAGGCAGCAGTTCGGGATCCTACGGTGCTCTCAGCCCCAGGACAGTAATTTTTAACCACAAGGGAGAGATCTTGAGCCAGTCTTATGGTAAAGTTTTTCCAGCTTTCTGCAAGTAGAAAGCAACCACAGGTCTTCCTGCACCTACCATAGATGAGCTCATACCTGAACCAGAAATCTGAACGGCCCCAGGCCGGGTGATGTGAAGCAAAGATTTTGGACATTGGATCCATTCATTCTATTTCCAAACACCTTACTCCTGGGATAAATAAGGAGCTCCCAAACCTAGAACTAGCTCTGAATCTGGGCTTTAAACCTGTTTGACAACAGAATCTTTTCTGAAAGAAAAGGGATGAGTCCCCCATACCTTTTCCTTTGTTCTCAGGCTGAGCATTGGAGCATTCAGTCCAAAAGGAGGTTTAAATTGCAACAAAAAACTCACCATCACCCCCAGGAAACAGAACCTGAACAGGACAGCGAATGCATCCTTAGCCATGAAGCCACTGAGGTCGCAGCTCCACATGTAATGCCATGAAGAGTTTCCTCCTTCAAGAAGGCTGGCAATGATCCTATCGCTTGTCTCTGCTGCAGCCTTGTTGGATGCTCAGATGTTCAGCTGAAAAATGTCACAACTTCCTTTGCAAGCATAGTTCCAAACAAAAGGTTCTGCAAAGACCAACCCATGGACTGAGCACTTTAACAGTGCTTTTTTTGTGCAGAAGCCACTGACTCTCCCAACAGCTGTAAGGCTCTAGGAGAGAGAAGGATGAGCTATCAATGTCATGACAAAGCAGGGCTTATTCTGCTTCCATTCTGATGGTGCTGTGGCAAATTAAGTATGACTGTAAAGTGCACCAACAGTTGTTTTAGAGTTTAGAGGCTTCTTCCACGTGAGGAGATTAGTTTAGGAATGCAACTACGACAAGAGCCAACAGCTTGTCCAGTTCCAGTCACAGCCAGAAGTGCACAGCAACGTGGGACAGAGCTTCTTACTCTTCATGCATTAACCTCCTCCCAAGAGGGAAAGAAGAGGAACAGTTCCCTCAGGGTATTCGTCACTGCATGACTGGGGAGGAGGTGCCCAAAGGCCCCCAGGCTCTTCAAAGTCAGACTGGAAGACACCCATTATGTGCAGGGCAAGCAGAGAGAGAGGGACAAAGGGGGTGGGGAAGCTCTGGTCTGGAAATCTCCACATCAGAGCACACCCCCACAAAGCAAGCTGGACCTGCCACCTCTTGTCAAGGCTGGAAGATCCCTGACACGAGGGAAATGCACAGTCACTCCTCGTGAGCTGTGCCAGCCCTGGGCACTTGCAGCAGGAGACAGTGCAGGAGGATGCTGAAACTCCCAGCTCCTCTCAGGGCTGCTATCTTCAGTTCCTTTTCTCTTTCCCCTCTTAAAGCAGCTAATAGAAGGTTGACCTACCCTCAATCAGTGTGCCAGTCAATAATAATGCCCTCTGCCACTTGGAACCATTCTCCAGGCTACTTGTTTATTGATGAAGTGTGTGTCTCCCTTGAGCAGGAGCTGCCACACAGCAGGCAAGGCGCCTGAGCCCCTGCCCAAGACAAATGACTCCAATTCCAGAGAGAGAAGAGAGCATTGCCTCACTACCAAGAATGAATCTCCCTGTGACAGGCAGCAGAAGCCAGGAATGCCCTGCAATCGAGAACTGCCCCTTTCCTCTTCCTCCTGGAGCAAGGGAGCTGAGCAAAGGAACCAGGAGAATCCACAGCAGCCCCACATTGCTGGGGATAGCAATGAAAGGCTAAGCATGTCGTACAGTAAGTGCCTCTCAACAAAAGTTGAGATGGTCACCTCATAAGCATTAGCTTGTACCAGAGCATTATGAACCAGCTAACAGAAAATTACTTCAGCTGCCTGCTCTCCTACTTTTCTTCCCTGCAGATGCAGGCAGTTACAGGAAATGCAAAGCAAAGAGGGTGCAGAAACCACCCACCAGGTTTGGAAGGTTGCTCATGGTCCAGGAAGGGAAGAGGTGATGGGAGCCCATTTGCATCGAATCACATATTCACAGTCCTTTGACTCTGCAAGAACTCTGGCAGAGCCACAAGGGGCCTGAGAGATACCATCGTAAACAATTTTCTTATCTTCTTATTTACCCTGAATCTCTTCAGAAAACTGGGCAGCACATCACAATCTAACAGATGACCCTGCTGAGTTTTTTTTGGAGGAAAATCATTGGAATCTTGTTCCCATCACCACCACAGCAGCCTAGAGATATGCAGGAAAGTGGGGTTAGCAGAAAGGTCATTAGAAGATTAGGTTAGAAGGAACATATTTTCTCCCTTCCTCCAACTCAGGCTGCTGTAAGAGAACAGGATGCTGAGAATAAGTGTGTCAAAAGCATTTGTGTGTAGGTGCTGATCTGTGGGCATGCCTATATCTGGGGTAGTCAGGGTGCGTGTGGGAGGGCTGCACATGCATGTATACTGGCTTTCCCACACTGTTCTTTGTGGCAATCACACTGTTCTTTTATGGTCTGGGGCCCTGTTGTAAACTTTCTAAAAATCAGTAGGAACTTTGTGAAATGCACGACCTGTCTATGTGCCTGAATTCCCCTCTTTCCTCCAAAGACCACAAGAAGAGCAGAAACCTCTGTGGATGTATTTTGGCACTAAGTGAGCTTTCAGCTTACAAGCAAGAAGAGCTTGGCACGCTGACTGACCTTAGCACAGAGCATGGAGGAGGATGGATGTCTTGGCACTGAACAGGGAGTGATCTGGGTGGTTTAGTGTCTTTGAATTCTTTAAAAAGCAGTAGTGCTATACTTCAGGCTGGTCCCACTGGTACAAACACTCTTTCCGTAGGAAAATGTTGGATCCCACCATGGTTTATCACTTGGTAGCTGTCAGAGACTTTATCCAGTGATAGCAGATACCTGACTGCTACAACAAAGAACAAAAATCAGTTCAAAAATGGGACTGCTCATCAGACTGAAACTTTGCTTGGCAAATCTTTCCAATGGAAGCACAGATTTGTACAGGAAGACTTGTTTCAGTACATGACTTTCACTTGCTGGAATGCTAGACCAGGTTGTTGCTTGTGTCACAACACAAAAACAGTGCAAAGGGCAATCTCACTAAGTGGGAAGGGGTGATCTCTGAGGAGATTCACTTGATGGCTACAGATCTGTATTTTACAAGAACCAACCCACTCTTGTTTATTGGATAACCCGAAATGTGCCATAGCATTTGGATGTGTCAACATCTTTCTCTTGCCAGTGCTGCCACAAACCCTGCTTCAAAGCTCCCAGCCACTGGAATTCCAAACTTCTGTGACTGGCTTCCATTTTGTCTGCACCAAGCTCCCAAGTGCTTCTGCTGCATACTGAATTTGACTTCTAACCTCGAATGAACCTTAAGCACAGGTCCATCTCAAAAGGCAGCACCCGCAGGTACTGGCAGATGCAGCCCATATCCTCATCCGGGGGGAGGAATATTTCTGCAGAGAGTTTGGGAACTTTCTTTGCTGTCAGCTGTTCCAGAAGGAAAGCGTTGCTGACTCATGCTGTGCATAATATTCTCCTCCATTAGAGCAATTGGATCATATTCAATCACAAACAACAGAAGGGTTATTAAAAAGAGCAAGAATGTTTTCCATCCCTCTCAAGGTAACAAACCCTGGACTGTCAGCTTCTGTCGAGAGTAGCTTTGTCTGTAATTAGCTAGCTCTGTCCCACGTTAGATTAAAAGAAATGAGAGTGTGCCAAACTCCTGACACCTTCCATGCAGACCTGACGCACGTATTTTGCACTAACCCACCTTCCAAGTCCCTGCACAGAAGATGTGCTGGTCAGAGCACAGTGTGTTGCAGCTATTTTTTGCTTTTCAATGGGCTACAAAAAGACAAGTACAAGCTTGACAGCCCAGAAGTTGCTATAACAGTTTGCCATGTATATTCAGTACAAGGATGGTTTAAAACAAACCTTATGCGGTCCCTTTCCTTTGCTCAGGAATAGGAGAACTGTGAATCACTCTCTGTCTGGGACTGCTGCAGAAGCAGCTAATTGTGCCCTGGATCCTTCACCTCTTTCAAAGGAAGAGGGGACAGGAGTGGTCCGTATGTGACTGGCACGCTGAGGTGCTGCGGAAGCACGGCTGGTTATCAGAGGAGCAGAGCCCTGGCAATCCATACTAACCAAACACTGCAAACCAAACCCGCAGGGACACGGGAGAGACGGAGGTCTGTCTCACTTCTATTCTAAGCAAGGATCTGACAGCACCTTTGGAAGGATCAAACTGCGTATCCCAGTAGAAGACCTCTGGCTAGGTTTAAATGCAGCTGGTCACAAACCACCTAAAATCCTTCTGTGTTATTTCAGCAGAGCACAGTGGGGCTGTTGGCGGTTTTCTGCTTCCTGCCTTCGACTGTTGTGACATGATGCCTCACAAAGTTACATGGTTGCCTGCTTCCTTCCAAGAGCAGAGAGTTTATTTCATCTGTGTGGGATGAAGCAATGCTATATATTCTTTCCAAAGATGCAAGGTGCAAAGTACTCTAAGGGAGGAATGGATAGAATAGAGATTAGAATATTGTTAATGACTT